GGATCCATGTTCAGGCATTTACCATCCATATGACCTTATGCAAGTCACTGACATTCTCTGTAAATCACATAACTCTATCTAAAATGGTAATCATACCTAGGGTAACATATTGTGTTGTGGACATTTTAAATAAGAGAATACATGGAGAGTGTTTCTTTATGCTAGCAGTGATGAAGTGATGACAGTGATGAAGGTTCCCACTACTCTGAGGGACAGAGGAAGCTAAGCAGGCTTTCTCATGTTATAGATGATCTATCCCTCAAGGCTTTGTTGACTGTAATTCCAAGATCGCTAAGCAACCTAATGATTCTAATTCCATTTTCAAGCTAACTTGATCATTGGGAGTAAATACCTGGAACAATGAACATCAGGAATCCTGTGACCAATAAATCAGCTTTTTTTTTAATTGATTTTTTTCAGCTTTTCTTATAAACATGAATCTCCTATTTAAATCAACACCATTCAGGGGCTGAGGTTGTAGCTCAGTGGTAGCGTGCTCACCTAGCACGTGTGAGGCCCTGGGTTCAATCCTCAGCACCACATAAAAATAAATAAATAAAGTACAGGTATTATGTCCAACTACAACTAAAAAATAAATATTAAAAAAAAATCAACACCATTCAGTTCATTAAGGTCTGATAGATTCTTGGTGAACTAAAAAAAACTGACTAGACATAGAGGGATGAGGATTCTGCCAGAGGACTGACCCTTGAGAGGCCCTATATGAACAGCTGGGCTCTCCTCCTACCTCCCTCTCTTTAATTATACATGATTACATCAAGACACTGAGAAATCCCAAAGAATCCTCTGAAACAAAGAAAGCTTCCTACTACATTTGCTATTTTTTGTTCTAAATGAATCTCATAACTCTCCAAAAACTAGAAATGCATACATAGTATAGATAACGACACTACCATTCAGGGGAACTTTACAACCAAAACACCTTGTTCACTTACACGCCCTTATCATCTGTCACTCTAATGCTGATCTCTGTTGACTTGCTGGTGACATTTCATGACTGAATCCACTCTCCCCTCTTATATCCACAACCTCTTTTATAAATCCTTCCTCACAACTCATGTCCTTCAAGAAGTGTTCCCCAATACTACCAGCCCTTTCTAGTTAAGGGTGTAGCTCAGTGGTAGGCAGATTACATGCTTTATATGCACAAGGTTCTGATTTCTAGATCCAATATCCCCATTCCCAGCCCCACCCCCAAAAAAACTAATTTATTCACTTGTGACCACTTAATTTTTCTTTCAAGCAATTGTCAAGCAGCTAAATCCTTGCATTTCTCAAATGTCTCAAAGAAGACCCAATACTTGATATATTTCACCAATTAAGTTCTTTATTGCCACCAGATATATATTTATATTAAGTAAATAAATCATCTTAAGGAAGAAGAGAGACAAACTAGATTACAAAGGTGACAAACAAAAGATGTTCTGGTTGACAGAAGCTTTGCGATCACATAATCCTTCGAGTTTCCTTTTCTCTTAAATAGGTCAGCTTTTAATACCATAATCATTCTTTCTGCCTTTTCCTTTTCAATCCTGCTGCACCAGAGTCCCACTGCAGTTTAAGTGACCTACTTAATAAAAAGTTTGGAGTCCTCAAACAGAAAACTGGGTTGGTTCCTCTACTGCCAACTGCTATGCAATCTTGGCACATTCCCTAGCCTCCCAAAGCTGCAGTCTTCTTTTCTTTACAAAGAAGAGGTTAGATTTCTTTTTGGCTGTAAGTATCTATGAGTATTTTCTGAGAACCTATCCCATACAAAGCACTGTGCTTGATATGAGGGTGGGAAGAGGTATAAGTAAAAATCAATGTTGCTCCATCATCTATTTAGGGAAGAGAAGGCCCATACAGTACAAAACCAAATGCCACAGTTACTTTGTTTATCATCCCCATTCCTGATTCTCTGTTCCATGATTGGAATTGTGCATGGCATATAGATGTTCAATTCAATGACATACACACCTTATGGGTGTTTAGAGAAGACAGACTTCATCTTAAGTCAAGAATGGTTCAAAGATTTCTAAAAGGTTGTTCAACTTTCACTCCTCCCCAACATTATCTTCTAATTGGAACCAAAATCATAAGCCAGTGTTCAAGTTTCTCCATGCTCTGGTTTCAATATATCCTTCAATCCTTTTCTTTTCCTTATATAGAACTATGCTGAAGCCAACCTCCTTGTTATACCTCAGATCTTACTCTTCACTCCTCCTTCCTCCATACCGTATTTATGCTGTTCTTCATAATAAAATGTCTTCCAATCCTAACATGGCCCAATTCCATTATCTCTCAGGGTAATTTCAAATTTCTCCATATCTGTATGGAGGTGTGTGTGTGTGTGTGTGTGTGTGTGTGTGTGTGTGAGAGAGAGAGAGAGAGAGAGAGAGAGAGAGAATAGATCATTTTTTAAATTTTGGTGCTGGAGATTAAACCCAGGCCCTCATGCATGCTAAGCACATTCTCTATCACAGAGATACACCCTCAACTCCTCTCCTAGTTTATGAAAGAGACCTTAGAAAGCGTTTCTTAATCCTTCCAATCATGTGCTCCCTCCTGCCTCTGAAACCCCAAAATATTTGTTGACATTTCTCTTGTGGTACATATAACGACTGGCTCTGCAGTACATCTGGGCCATATCTTTGCCTCAAGAGAATAATCTTTAACATCAAAAATTATATTATTCACCTGCTTTGCCAAACAAATAAAGGATAGTCACTAGATTAGTCTGACAGGACAAATATAAAAGGACACTTTAGGATATAAAAAGTGGATAAACAATGGTACCAAGTTAGGAACATTTGTAACTTATGACTAAAATGGTGACTACTATCCCACTCTCAATAACCTCAAAAAAAATTAGTACAACCACCCTAGAAACCAGTCTGGGGATTCTTCAAAAAAACTAGGGATGGAACTACCATATGACCCAGCTATCCCACTTCTTGCTATATATCATAAAGATATAAAATCAGCATCAATGTTTATAATAGCACAATTCACATTAGCCAAGTTATGAAACCAGCCTAGATGCCTGTCAACAGAAGAATGGATAAACAAAATGTGGTATATATATGCACAATGGAGTTTTACTCAGTCATAAAGAAGAACGAATAAACTGGAGAACATCGTGCTAAGTGAAATAAGCCAATCCCCCAAACCCAAAGGCTGAATGTTCTCTCTGATATGTGGATGCTAAGAAAAAATAGGGGAGGTAAGGAGGAAAAAATAGAAGTTCACTGCATTAGGCAAAGGGGAATGAAGGAAAGGGAGGGGATTGGGAATAGTAGAAACAGTAGAATGACTTGGACATAACTTTCCTATGTTCCTATATGAATAAATGACCAGTGTAACTCCACATCATGTACAAACACAAGAATGGGATCCTAATTAGAATACATTGCACTCCATGTATGTATAATATGTCAAAATACATACTACTGTCATGTATATCTGAAAAGAACGAATTTTCAAAAAGTGAAAAAAATAAGCTAGACACAGTCAAAGGTCAATTGTTTTTCTCATATATGGAAGCTGGAAAAAGACGGGAGGTAAGAGGTTTCATGAAAATAGAAGAGAGATCAGGAGTAGATCAGTGGGATTGAGGGAGAAGGTAGAGGGATGTGAAAAAGAAAGACCAGTTAAATAAATAGAAGAAAGATCAGTAGAATCCTAGAAAGGGAGCAGGCAGAGGGAGGAAGAGAAGGAAAGGTGAAGTACTAGGGACTGACTTGGACAAATTAAATTCCATGTTTGTATAATTATGCCAGAAATAACATCAAATTATATATAACTGTAATGAACTAATAAAAAAATCAAAATAACTAAAAAGGGCGAGGAGTATAGATCAGTGGTAGAATGTCCTTGGGTTGTATACCCAGAATTGAAAAAAAAAAAAAAAAAGTGGATAAAATTACTTCCAGGCTATGTGTCTGAGATATATCTCAAACATAAATAAATTTTGTGTTTAGATCTGGGTTTCATCTCCAAAATAATAATTATGTACATACAAATATTCCAAAATCCAAGAAAATACAAAATTTGAAACACTTCAGATAAGAGATATTTAGGCTGTACTTGGAATTTCTCTGGATTTTTAAGTATCTGGAATTTCCCTGAATGCTTACCTATAACAGAACACTGCTCTGTAGCCCTGACCAACTAGTGGGGCATACCTACCACTTAGTTTCTAATGAACTCATTTCTCATTTTCAACAGTTTTATTTAAGCTGTTGTTAGGCAGAACACTGAGAATAACAGTTCTACCTTTCCAGAGCCAGCAACAGACACACACACACATATATATATACATTCATACCCACTCTAAAACAGATTTCATTGACTTCCTAACTGAAGCAATTAGTTTCACATGCATTTAGCCAATTGGTCTCCCTGGCCCCACCTCTCATCACCAAGAAACTCTGTATTCCCATCTCTGCTGGTATCCTGCAAACTACATCTACTGGGGTTTGGTTGCCCTTCAATCCCAGCATGACAAATAATCAGCCTCAAGAACTCTTGAAAGGTGACACTGAATAATCTTTTTATTTTTATTTCTGATTAATCTGACGTTAAATAAATGAAGAACATGATTCTTGGCTTAAGTACAATTAAAAATCTGTCACTGTATCAAAACCTGGCTTTCATCACAAGTGACATTTTGAATTCATGTCAGTGTATATGCAATACCCAATCCCCTGATAACAAATGTAATAAGCACAAAACTTAACAGTGAAAAGGTGAGAAAAAAAAAAAAATCTCTCTTCTCCTCCATAAATACCAACTAGTCTGGACAAACACTTCTTTGCTGATCAGATTTCCTTGATGTTTATATTTGCTAAATGCTCAGGCCTTCCACAGAGGAAACCAGGTGTGCCCAAGTGTCTTCAAGGGGAGCTCCACCCCCTCTTCCACAGGAAACATGCAGTAACTCAGTTTTGGAGTGAGGCAGCAGCAGGCAAAGGAAGAAAGACAGAAGCCCTACTTACCATAGAAGAGGAACGCTTTGGTCATGGGATGGTGCCAGTAAGTCCGGTTGATGGTGAAGAAACAGGCATCTGCTCCACACTGGCCCAGCCGTCCAGTTTCCCCAGTCAGTGGGGACCACCAGAGCATGATGGGGTAGCTGTCGATTTCCAGTTGTCTCTTCCTAATCAAGGACAGTGCGTCTTTCTGAAGGAATGGATTGAGATGTTCAGGCTCTTCCTCCAATTTTTTATGTCCATCTTGCAAATTGGAATTTTTAAACGTCTTCCTTTCAAATTTTCCTAGCTCAACCACGACCTAAGAATGAAGGCAATTATTACCAGAGTCACATTATTTAACTTTCATCAGCATATCTCACTCATCTTGATGATTTAGCCTCCTACTAGTTTTCTATTGTTGCTGTAACAAATTTCCATGAACTTAATAATTCAAAACAGCACACACTTATTATTACACAGTTCTGAAGGTCAGAAATTTGAAATGAGACTCACTGGGCTAAAATCAAGGGGCCAGTAGGCCTTTATTCTTTTTTGGAGATTGGGAGAATCAGTTTCTTGCCTTTTCTCTCTCTTGGAGGCAGCCCACAGTTCTGGACTCAAGGCCGCCTTCCTGCTTCTTCAAAGCCAGCAGCACTGAAGACTGTGGCTCTTTTGATAATATTTCTCTGTCTAACGAGAGCCAGGAAAGACTGTACTCTTAATGATTCATGTGATTACACTGGGCCTCCATAGATAATTCAGGATAATCTCCTGTTTTAGTTGATATCATGCTGCCTTACCAGAACACCTGAGATTGAGTAATTTACAAAGAATTGAGATGTATTTCTTACAGTTCTGGAGGCTAGAAAGTACAAAGTCAAGGGGTCCCTGAGCAGGAAAGGAAGACACGCTTATGCTTTGATCGGGAACCTACACCAGGGACAACTAACTGACTTCCACTATAAGGCACTCATCTGCCCTCATGACCTAATCACCTCTTAAAGTTCCCACCTCTCAATCCTGTTGCATTGAGGACCAAGTTCCCAACATGTGAACTCTGAGAGATATTCACACCAAAGCATTTCCATACCTCAAGGTATATCACATTAATCCCATATGCAAAAGTCTTTTTTGCCGTGTGAGTAACATATTCACAGGTTCCAGGCATATGGGACATGAAAAGAGCCTCCAAAATAAAAATTCTATTCTACACGTAGACCCATTTCTCTGCTATTTCATCAGCATACATAGCGCCTAGCACATATAGTACCTTGAAAATTACAATAGGGTTTCTACCTGTCTACGCTAACGATGACGCTCCAGGGAAAAAGAGCTGTAAACTACCAGCGGATTACCTTTATTGCAATTAAAGAAGTCATAATATGAGAGTTATATTTTTAATAATACCTACTATTGCACTGACACCATGAAGTATAACGGCAAAACTTCCTGGAATCTGCGTTATCAACACAGTAAACCATTGGGGATTGGATCTTCACTCGCTTCCACATAAAACCACATTTTTACCTACATCAAGATAGTCTAAGTCAGAGTCACTGGACAGCCAGGCCATCAGAAATAGTAATCTGGAGGTGGTGAGATTGAAACTGAGGACCAATTGTTCTCCAAAATTTTTCACACTTTAAGATTTAATGCCAATACGGCCCTACAAAAATATTATCAAAAGGGTTTTTTTACATATGCTTTAAACATCAATGATCAGGCTACAAAAATATTATCAAAAGGGTTTTTTTACATATGCTTTAAACATCAATGATCAGGCTATCAAGCACATAAAGCAGTTAAAAGAAGGCACATTTACATTTTTCCTGCAGTCAGCCCTCTGTATATGCAAGTTCTACATCTATAGAGTCAACAAACTGTGGATCAAAAATATTCAAAGAAAATTTGCATCTGTACTGAACATGTATAGACTTTTTTTTCCTTGAATTATTCCCTAAACAATAAAGTATAACAACCATTCACATAATTTTTACACTGTGTTGGATATTATAAGCAATCTGAGGTGACTAAAAGTATACAGAAGAAAATGTATGGGTTACATACAAATAGCACACCATTTTAAATAAGGCATGTAGGGATCTGCCAATTTTGGTATCCACAGAGGGTCCTGGAACCAATCTTCTGTGAAAACCATTGGATGACTACATTAATTCCTCCACAGCCAGCCACAGAGGCATTTCCTGTGTGGCCATCAGGCCCCACCAACCAAGGACGGTTTCTTTTTTATTTCCTTGTTACTCCTATCACTGGTCACTGATGCATGACATGGAGTCTGCAAGTCCCTGGAAAGGGCCCATAAATTTCATTAGATTCTCAAAGGTATCTAAGGCCAACCAAAAGTAGGAATCACAGATTGAAAGCCAACCAATAAGCACTCCAAAAGGAGTAAGGAGTTCTATTAGCTTTTAAAAAAATCATATGAGGGGCTGGGATTGTAGCTCAGTGGTAGAGTGCTTGCCTAGCATGTGTGAGAAACTGGGTTCAATCCTCAGTACCACATAAAAATGAATAAATAAAATAAAGGTATTGTGTTTATATACAACTAAAACTATCTTTAAAAAATCATATGATACCAAAGTCCACATTCAAACAGCAAAACGATCCCTGAAAACTAAAGCCTAACCCTTGCCAATAGCTTTCTCAGCAATTTCGTAATCGAATAATGTAGCTCTTCCCCAGCAGCTTGATGGAACAGAATTGACTTATAACTCCACACTATCTTTTCATTTAACTTTCTTTTGCAAATGTACAACCAGTAACCTAAAAGAAAAAAACATGGCTTTTAAAAAGCCATGGGACAGGGCTAGGGATGTAGTTCAGCAGTAGTGCACTTACTTAGCATGTTCAAGAACATGGGTTCAATCCTCAGTATATGTGTATAAATATATATACATATATTTATATATTATTATTTGTACTATTATTTATGTATACATATGTACACACACGCACACACACATACACACACACATATATATATTTGTTTATAGTCAGGCCCAGATATCATTATCAGGTGGTAGGAAATATGGGGGGGCAGAAAAACATATTTATAAAAGCTATAAGGATAAAAATCAGCCAGATCCATAATCTAGAACTCAAAAGGAAAGATAACCCAGTTTCTTCAACAAACCTGTGACATGGCATAAAATGTGGGATAAAAGAAATTTGCAAAAGAAAAAATACAAAGCACAAAACCTGAGATACACCAACCAAATGTAATATGTGAAATTTGTTTACTCCATATTCAAAACAATCTATTATTTTTAAACAAATTTTAAAAAATTGGGGGAGGGAATTTTAACATGCCTAGGATACAGAAGATATTAAGTAATTATTATTAATTTTATTCAATGAGAGAACAGTAATATGGATACATGAACTTTTGGGGGGGAGACAAGCAAGGAAGAAAAGCGTTTCCTCAAAGACAAGCAAGGAAGCAGTCAAGTGTTTCCTCTGTCCAGAATCCGAGTCTGGCTGTAGAGTGTCTGCCAAAGTGCTTTCAAAATCTTTATCTCATTCTATGCTGATTAGGAGAAGTAGGATCCCGCAGAGCCAAAAAGCCAAAGGAATACCTATTTCCATTGGTCCCATACCTGAAAGACTGACATCCACAGATAATCTGTAAAAGTCTCTTGAAGGCTCAAATGGACAGAATATATCTACACTGATAGCCATATTTTTACCATCACTGTACAATTTTTTATTTCAATTTTAAATCAGTGAACAGAGTTTAGAATAACTGTAGGAAATAAATCAAATATGTCAAGAAATTTATTAATGCAGTTGTTTGTATTCTGCACTTACTTTAAGACACAGAATATCTTTCATATACTCTTTACAGAATAGTCCTTGCTTCTTCAAGAATGCCATCTTTCAGAAGTGATTAGGACCTATAATCCCAGCTACCAAAAAATGTGGGGCAGGAGGATCACAAGCTTGAGGCCAAACTGGGCAATTTAGTGAGGGCCTCTCTCAAAGTAAAATAAAAAGAGCTGGGATATAGCTCAGTGGTAGAGCACTTCTAGCATGGGGGAACCTCTAGGTTCAACCTCTAGTACCCACCCCCCCCCCCAAAAAAAGAAGCAGATAGAAAACTTTGAGAAAGTTATTCAACTTTGACCCAATGAGACAGTCTAAACTTTGCCTAAAACCAGGACCATACAAGAGTCACACTCTGATCTCAATCTCAATGATTTTGTTTCTGCCTGACATATCTGTTTGCTGTACCCATTCACTCAACCTCAACTCCACATGATTAAATTAAAAAAAAAAAAAAAGTGTTTTTCCTGCCTTAGACAGTAGCAATCACCTGATCCTGAAAGATTAAGCAAAAAGTAACATACTTGGAATTCTGTGAGAATAGAGCTGGGGATATAGAGGAGATGGCAAAGGCTCAGTAATGAATCCACATTACACAACTCAAATTCTTGGTACCTGGAGTGTGACGAGCAGAAAGACAGTAGCTGTCATGCACAGGCAAGATGCCAAAACCTTCCTCCTCTGAATCCGCACCATGCTGCCCTGCCCTGGGTGACTGACAGAGGGCTAGCCCAGTTAACAGGTGTTCTCGCGGCAGCCCATAGCCCGAGACAACTTCACATGGAGGAACCATCTGGGTGCCAATTTCTTGCACTGCCATTCCTGCTGGGACCTGGTCTCCATGAAGGACTGAGATCTGAGGTTTTGAGCGAGCCTGGCTTGGCATCGAGAGCAAACAGCATGCAGTCTTCTTAAGCCATCATCAGAGCAGCTGGAGATTCTTCAGACAAAAAGACATCAAACAATTCTGTAACAGACAAATGGATAATCTTTTAGCCATAGTGCACAAGATTTAATAAACGTAGTCTTACAGGTTTATCATGTACAAGCACTAATGTTTTAAACTAAAAGGAATCTTGGAGATCATGTAGTCGTAATAACTCATTCACAGACAGGGAAATGGAGACTAGAGTAGTGAAGTGGCTCACCTAAGGTCACCTAGCCCATTAGAAGAGCATGTCAAATCTACAATCAGGTACCAAATCTAAAATTCTCTTTCACTTAATTTTCTATGGCAAAAGAGGACCGAATTCCAGAAGCCATTTATATGAAGTTACTCCCTTATATTGAGGTTTCAAAGGAATAAAGAAGTAGAACAGAAAGTACCAGGACAAGAGGTTAGGAGTATAGCTCAGTGGTAGAGCACTTGACTAGCATACATGAGGCCCTGAGTTCAATCACTCTCTACCATTACAGAGTGGGGAAAAAAGGAAAGAAAGTACCAGGACTATGTACGCACTCTGGTTAAAAATTAGAAAAAAAAATGGTCAGGCTTCAATCAAAAATGAATAATAATTGACTAGGGTATTGGTCAGTGGTAAAGTGCTTGCCTAGCATGCAAGAGGTCCTGGGTTTAATCCCCAACACTGGACAAAGAAAATTTATAATGGATGATCATCAACTGTCCCAGTATACCCCAAGAAAACCAACTTCAGTGAAAACATAAAGAAACATGATTATTAATTTATTTTGTTAATTCTTGTATGGCAAGTGTAATAAAGCAGTGTGCTGTTTGAGCAACATGACTCTGGTTTCATCTATCTCAATGGATGATCTTTTTGAAAAGTTTTAAGAAGGAACTACATGGTTCCAAAAGATTGTCTCTTATTCCCAAGATTCCATGAGTTCCACGTCTTAGCAAATGGCCTTGTGCAGGGATCAGCTTCCAGAAGATGGTCAGTATTGCTTCACAGTGCTCCAAAGGCCTGACCCTAACTCAGAGCCACAGGTTTCTAGGAGAGAGTTAAAGATATAACTAGAACTGTAAAAATGATACGGAACTCTAGACCTGGGTCTAAAAAAGTGAGCTCTTCTCTTATCTTGATTTACTTTTAAGCCCAGGATACTTTTCTTCCTCAATAACACAAAGACTCACTGAAAGTGCATTTTTCTTCTTTCATCCATGGGAATTCTCAAAATAGAGTAACTATGAAAACAGACTCTAGAGTCAGCCTGCAAGGATTCAAATCTCAACTCCCCAGCTGGCATAATGCAGGTGCACGATAAATTTAAATATTATTATGATTTTTATTAGATGGAAGTGAAGCTGAATTCTCAACGTCACTGTCTCATCAACTGGAACTTCTTAAGGAGATATGAACATGAAAAGGAGACTGTTCATGTTTATTGAACAACCTATTATGGGCAAGGCCTTTCCTAAGTATGTAGCATTTATAAGCCAAAAACGACTGCATGAAGTAGCAACTACTATCCTTAGTTTTGAAGGTGAGAATATTAAATTTGAAGGCAGCAAGGTAAATTGCTCAAGACAATAACTTCATAACTTTGATAAATACTACAACCAGAAAAGAGTCTGGCTTTTGAGTTCATGTGGTTTGGGGTTTTTTTTGTTTGTTTTTTCTTTCTTTGTATTGTTTTGGTTTTGTTTTTTTGTACTGGGGATTCAACCCAGAGGCACTTTACCACAACCCTTTTTATTTTTTAATTTTGAGATAGTGTTTCACTAAGACACATGGGGCCTTCCTAAGTTGCTGAGGCTGGTCTCAAATTTGAGATCCTCCTGTCTCAGCCTCCTGACTCACTGGGATTACAGGCCTTTGCCACTGTACATGACTCTTTTCTATTTTTTTTTAACCATTAATACTATAAAATTCCTACCAGATAATGCTAACATTACAGCTATCTACCTGAACCACAGGAGGGAAAAAACAAATAAACAACAACAAAAAAAACTACGTAGAATAGTTGTTGGCTAGTATGTTAGAGAAAACAAAACAAAATCTACCAGGAACCTGTAAAGCTCCTTACCTTCTACTCAGTAGATGATAGTACATATTAGCTACATAAAATGTGAAGCTGGCTATTTAGGTTCTAATTCTGATTCTATCACTTATACATAATATAATTTGGACAAGTTACTAAGCCTCAGTTTTTTTAATAATAAACAATAAAAGTTAATTATCATTGTTTCTTTCCTTTGCATAACAGAAAAATTATCAAATTTTCTACTTAGGGGCTGGGGATGTGGCTCAAGCGGTAGCGCGCTCGCCTGGCATGCGTGCGGCCCGGGTTCGATCCTCAGCACCACATACAAACAAAGATGTTGTGTCTGCCGAAAACTAAAAAATAAACATTAAAATTCTCTCTCTTTCTCTCTCTCTCTCTCTCTTTAAAAAATTTTTTTTCTACTTAGGTGCAAAAGCAATTTATTATAATTAATGCACCCAGATTAGAAAGTAAAACAATATTATAAGCTTAAAAGGGAATAAAATTATATCACTCTCAAAAGTTTTAGGTCTGTCAGTCCACTCAATCTTATAACCACTTTGTAAGCTAGACAAGGAGGTATTGTATTCCCAGTTCCAACAAATAAGTAAACTGATCTTCAGCAACTTTAAGTGATTTGCCTGGATCATAGGTTTCTTTGTTTGTTTGTTTGTTTGTTTTTAAGGCAGAAGTGGATCTAGAAATCAGGTCACTTGACTCCAAGATCAATGGAAAGGAAAGACATGGGAAAAACAATGAAAGTTTGTCATGAATACAAAACAAGTCAGGGACAAAGGAAAACAAAGGATGGAGAGAGAACTTGAGGACAGATTTGGGAATGTTTTTACAGCTACCAGATAGCTCAGGTCGGTTGTGGGGTCTTTATAAGGCTGTAGAAAGAAAATTCTGCAATGGAAGAATTTAAGGCTACAAATTCCCTTGCATCTGGAAAATCTCAACTTAGGTTATACTCCTGAAGCTAGAGTAGTGAGATCTCAGGGACCAAGCAGTGGTTAAATACCCACCACTAAAGAACAGATCCCAGTACTGTGATTTATAGTATGCAGCCATCAACCAAGTCTCAGGGTACATTTGTAGCAGTAACAATCAATCTAATATATAGTATTAATTACCCAAGGCCCATCATCAAGTCAGCAGTCTCCCAGCTTGTGTGACAGATGGGCTTTGCAGAGAGCACGATGAAGACCACCAATCTCCAACTCCATGGCACTCCAAGAGCAAAGTGCCCTTCTGCCTAGCATTGCCTGAAAAATAAATCTCAGAGTCTTCTAAGAGAATGCCCCCCAATTTTTTTTTTCTGGTACAGAGCAATGTGTTTGTTCAATCACAGAACATCACATCTGAAATGGACTCTTACTAACCAATACTCTTGACCCTAGAAGCTGAGCTTCTGTAATGTACTGCCCCGGGGCTGGCCATCTGCTGCCCAGAGTGGGGTTTGGAGCTAAGTGCAACTGCCTCATGCTCCTGCAAGTGCTATTCCACCAAAACCAGCAGCACTGTCATCCTAAAATGGATCCATATTTCCTACTTTGTTTTGAATTAAGAGAGACAGAAGAAAGACTGAGTATCTCAAAGAAAATTAGCAGTCTGAGTGTGCCAGCTCCAAATTCTGGCTGTGCAGGGCCAGAATTGGAACAAAGAAATGATTCTACCCTGTCCTTTAGACTGAAAAATGAGAAGCCAAGCCTAGTGATGCACTTGATACACGAGATTTCCAACCCTGACAGTCTGTGTCCCTCTCTGCTCCCTCTCCTTATTGGCAGGAAAGAGGTGAGGCAGAAGGCAGGGAGCTCTGGGAAGCCTTCTCTGCTCAGTTCTTTCTCATCTAGCAACTGGAAATCAATTGTTTTAATAAACAACCCTCTTAACTGAGATGAATATAATACCAGGAAGGGCTTTTAGAGGGGATACAACTAATTATCAAACTTAAATTATTCCTATTAAATTATTTCTATTAAAGTATAATTTCTCCAGTTAGCTTGACTCTCCCAGGAAGTGTTGTCACTCTATAACATAAATCTCCAGGACATCCCTTACATGGTTGCTTAGAAAGAGATGAGATGGGGGCTGGGGATGTGGCTCAAGCGGTAGCGCACTTGCCTGGCGTGCGTGCGGCCCGGGTTCGATCCTCAGCACCACATACAAACAAAGATGTTGTGTCTGCCGAAAACTAAAAAATAAATATTAAAAAAAATTCTCTCTCTCTCTCTCTCTCTCTCTCTCTCTCTCTCTCTCTCTCTCTCTTTAAAAAAAAAAAAAGAAAGAGATGAGATGGTAGACTGATGGGAAGGTGTCTAAGGACCCGTATTAGTCTGATTTCCATGCTGTGACAAAATACCTGAGAAAAACAATCTTACAAGAGGAAATATTTATTTTGGATCATGGTTTTACAGTCCATTCAATTATGAATGCATTATTGGATTACTACATTGATGAGATCAGAGCCCTTCCCAAAAACCCCAAGTCTGAAAATTGCTACACTATAGACCAATCCTTCAACACATGAGCCTTTGAGGTATGTTCCAAATATAAACCATAATGGGACTTTGGACCACTCGTCAGGCACATGCAACTACCTCCTTTCAACTATCTCTCATTAACACTCCTCACTCATTCCTACCTGGTTACTCCCAAGACCCAATAACCAGTGTTCTTCCTAGTCTGACCTTCATGCATTCTCCATTCAGATATAAAGAGATGTCCCTAGAATGTTGATTAGGTATATCACCTCTGATTGACATCCTTCAATGGCTTCCCAAAGATCTCAAGGTAAATATAAAACTCTGTTAGCTTAAAAGCTAGAGGATGTGCATCCCGCCCCACACCTCTTGCTTCTTTCCTGGTGTCCTCCTCACACATTCTGTCCCAGCTATACCTAGAATGCAGAGCTTCCTCTTCTGTGCCTTCTCTAGAGTGCCTGAACCTCTTTTACTTTTCCAGCCATTCCACAAGATTCTCAAGATTACCTAAAATGAGATATACCCCTCCCAAGACCAAGTCAGCTTATAGATCCATGTCATCTTGTGCATTATTTCTATCACAACAATGGAGAAAAGGCAGGAAGCTGGAGGATTTTAGAAAACTTTCTGAAGCTGCTTCATTGGGTGCATAAAAAACAATTGTGACATGAAACAGTTGGTCTATTGTTTAATTTGAAAACTTCTTTAATACCTGCCACTGTCCCTACAGCATCTAATGACCACAGTGTAATGATTCCAATTTTGATGTTTACCCAATTTTAATCAACATTTATTTCCATGGTTCTTAATGGACTTCTGATCTTGCTAGGCAATTATTTTTATATAAAGAAGGCTGAGGGTTAAAGATTTCTACTTGGGAAGGTTATTTTATGCAACCAAGCACACATTTCAGGCAAGACTAACAGAGACTAGGAAGGGAGAAAGGAGCACTGGCAGCCTTGTGAATCAAGATGGACTATTAAAGGGGTGGGGAGGTGTCAGGGTGTGCCCTTAGATTCCAGATACACACTTCAGTGTTAATAATACAGCCTCCACTGATATAAAGCCCCAGTAAAAAAAAGCACAGTTAAAAGGGGTGATTGGGGCACAAGACTGAAGCTTTTATGTCAAAATAAGAACTAAGGTGACTCCTCAAGAAGCAAGAAGGCATCATCTTTGATTTGTTTATTTGTTTGCAGTACTAGGGATTGAACCCAGAGCCATACCTCTGAGCTACACCCCCACACCTTTTTTAATTTTATCTGGGACAGGGTCTCACAAAGTGACCCAGGCTGGCCTTGAACTTGCAATCCCCCAAGGCAAGAATTCTTCATTTTTGTTTTTCCTATAAGGTCTTCTTAGTAACTATTCATTCTTCAAAAAGAACTTATAGATTTTTTTGTGTGACAATTTTTCTACTTGGCAGATATGAAGAAAAATATCTCATCTACTTTTAGCAATTTACATAATCATGAATGAGGAGCTGGTTAAATAACACAGAATATGGCTAACATTTCACATGTCTATAAACAATAGCTGTACCAGGCAATCTTCTGAAGTTTCTTGCCAAAAACAAGTTCTCTATTCCCATGAATAGTGTCCAGGTGCAAAAATTCTCCAGAGAAGAAAGTTTAAGTTAGTAAAATGATAATCATCAAGACAATTTGAATAATCACAAACTAGAATTTCAAGAAATATAAAACAAAAAATATTTGTATATAACAAGTTTAGGATTGTTAATTTCCCCCCTCCTGCACTGGGGATCAAATCCAGGACCTTAAGCATGCTTAGCAAGCACTCTACTACTGAGATACATCCCCAGCCCCATTTTCCCTTTTAGTAATTCAACATTACCTTTTGAAAACTAAAATTGTATCCTCAAAAAAAAAAAAAAAAAAAAAAAAAAAAAAACACTCTGAAACACATTATAAATAAAGATAAACTTTTTTTTAACTGAGAGAGTTTTTCTAAGTTGCTGATGATCTCACTAAATTGCTAAGCTGGCGCTGAACTTGTAACCCTCCTGCCTCAGCCTCCTGAGTCACTAAAATTACAGGCATGCACTACCACTACACACCCAGCTTAATTTTTCTTAATTTTTCAAAAACCCTTGTACAGTAACGTGATAACATTTTTATTGTAGAATGCTGATAGTTGAGTAAGATACTGCATTTCTTGCTGAAATCAACTCTTTACATTCCAAATAAAAAGTATTTAAATACAGGTTGGAAATGTCTGCATACTGAGCAATATTTATACATACATGAATAACATCATTGTTTATGCAAACTATTTTCTTTTTCTTTATTTCCTAAATTTAACCAGGTTGAATTTCTTTTTCAAAAAATGATCTGTTGGTAAGATATAACTTGAAAACACACTACTTTTTTCCTCCTTGACGAATAAAAGATAAGCAACACAGTAACAGTTGATGCTGGATGTTTAATTCACTGTTGCACACTGCCACCTAGCAGGAAGCTAGCAAATGAAGAGTTATTGTAGCCATTTCAAAATATGCACAAACCTTAATGATCACTTAATGCTACAACTTTGTCTCTGGCTTAGAGGCAGCAGGAGAAAGTTCTAAGACTGAGGCTAGGATGCTGTCTATATTGGTGGCTTGGAAACTTTAGTGTGCTAATACCTGTACTGTTTATTCAATGCAGATGGCCAGGCCCCACCTGAAAGACCTCTGTTGGAGACAATGGTGGACTGTGGGAAAACAAGGCCCTACTTTGCAGAGTGAAATCACCAACAAGCCCACAACTGGTCATAAGCTTCTGCAGAAGGGAGGATCTCATTTGAGAGAAGGGAGGATGTATGAAGGCACTGAGGTCCTGACGACCGATTTTCCTTATTCAAAATTGTACCCAACCAGAGTTATATGTATTTTACAAATAAAATGAACAATCCAAGTCACCTCAAGCATAAAATATTCTCCCCAACATTTCTGGGTACTGTGGCAGTAAGTGGGAGTAACCTGTTGGCGCTTCAATGTTAAGAAATACAGTAGTTTGCCATAGCATTTCCTAAGTATTAAAGAATTATTAAAAGATCCCAAGACTGGTGTGGTGGTACATGCTTGTAATCCCAGCCATTTGGGAGGCTGAGGCAGGAGGATCTCAAGTTTGAGGATTGCTTGGGCAATTTAGCATGACTCTGTCTCAAAATTAAAAATAAATAAATAAATAAAAATTAAAAGGGCAGGGGATGTAGCTCAGTAGTAAAGCAACCGTGGATTCAAATCCCAGTATGGGTGGTGGAAGGATCCCAAGTAAACGTCTTAAAATCACAGCAGTATTCTATGTCTTACATAAAATATAGAAAATAGCTCTAAGAGAGCTAACTGGGTACAAAAACACCTTTCGAAATGGCTTGCACGTGGAAAACCAAAGCCTGCAGTCTGGGGGCTCTCCCAAGGTATTTTCTGTAATATATACACAAGAATCTCCACAGCTGGAAAGTCAGGATTGCTGCTAGTTCCGCACGAAATTCTAGCAACAAGTGATTCTCAGTGAAGACCCAAGTGCACTGAAGCAATGCACAATACACAAGCAAAGTTAGGGGAAGCAGATGGTGGCAGGCAGGGGGAGGAACGCGAGGTCCCCCGCGCCAGAGGCGCAGCTAGCGCAGCAGCAGAACCGCGCGCTCCTCCTCTGGGCTCCCGGTTATACCCACCGCCTGTCATCAGCCTCCCACTTGTGCCATCTCAGCAGCCGGATCAGCTTAAATCTCAGGCCGTGGCTCTAGAAAGATCTGCCCAAGGTTTCTGTTCTCAAACAGACGTAGACTCTTTTAGTGCACAACTCGGTCTCCTAACACTCATACCCTTCTTGGCATAGAGATTTTCTTCAACTGTTGGCTCCAGCAGGCGCGTCCCAGTTTCCAAGGGCAACAGAAAAGTCTCTTTTCTTTTCTCTACATCAAGCCCCTGCCCCCACCAGGCCATTACCCAAACTAGAGAAGACCCACAGTTCCACACTCACCTCGCCGCAGCATAGGAGGATAGCTAAACGGATTACAGCAGGCTGCTTTTCACTTTCAGTTTGCGCCCCCTCTTGGCCTGGGGGAAGACCGGGAAAGGTTGCCTGAATGGGCTGCGTTGAGGATGAGAGATCCTGGATCCAGGTTTTCACTAATGCCTTACGGCGGGGAGTAGCGGGGACGGGGCGGGTGGGGCTTGCTTCAGAGAACGTGGATCCTCTCCTCCCTGGGGCGTCCAAGCACAATCCGCCCTAGGACTCAGTTCTTCTTGAAAGTTTTGGAAAGTTCTTCATGAAAGCCTTCTAGAAAGGAAGGCTCCTGAGGCCCTCTTAAGTCACAGGAAACTCTTCTTCTCAAACTATACAAGTACTAAAGTTCAAAGTTAGCTATTTAGGAAAATTGTGAGTCTTTTTTTTTTTTTTTTTGCTAATCCAATTCTGAGATCCTTTAATCAGTGTCCTTGGTGTTTGGTAGAGTGAACTTTAGTAGAATCATTTAGTTTGGTATTACTGGTTGGTGTAGACCAAATGTTTGTGTCCTAGTGCAGTGGTGTTGGGAGGGGAACCATCAGGGATGTGATTTGGTCAGGAGGACAGAGTCTGACAGAGATGGCAGGGGGGTCCTACCATCACCTGAGGAAATCTACCTGAGCTTCCATCTTGGACTGCCCAGTCTCCAAGTCGTCACTTCAGTTGCTTATAAGGCACCCAGTCTAAGGTATTTTGTTATAGCAGCCACATGGACTACAGTACTGCTAAAGGAAAACTGATACTGAGAATCCAATCCAGATAAACCAATTAAAAATATTTTGCCTTAGTCCAGGTGGTGATCAACCTAAGGACATTATTTAAGGGCTGGAGCTGTTAATGGAGCTCTAGGCTAGAAGCCTGACATGGGGGATTCCAATGAATCAACCCCCTTCCCCACCCCCACCCCCCCCAAAAAAAGAAATAAAGAAAAGGTGATGGTGAAAAACAGGAAAATAACTTTAATCAACATGGCCATATTTGGAAGGCAAAGTAAGATCCAGCATTTCAGCCCTTTGTGTGGATAAATGAGCTTTAGATTCAAATACAGGAAGAATTGGAACAGGGGAAAGGGTACACATAATTAAGCCGACTTGATCCAACTGTGGTCTGATTGATCATTATTTCAGTTCTGGTTCTGGGAGTAGCTCTGGAGAAGTCCTTATTGCTTGTGGGTGTAAGAGGCAATTTCCACTTGCAGTTCCCAATGTTTATCAACCAGACTTGTGATCATGGAAAGGGGTAATTCAGTTCCCATGAAGTTATTGCTTCTGTTTAGGAGGGCAGTCACTGCAAATCTTGGGTGCAGCTGCAGGACCCAGATATACTGTCCTAGGTCTGCCTTATCCTAGTCCTGACCCTGCAGAGTTCCCATGCCATGCACCTCAATTAACTTCTCTGCAAAAATGGTTACCTAATAATACTGTCCACTTCTAGAAAAATCAAACACAAAAGATTGAAAATTGAGTATATTAAAAGTAATGAGTTCTAGGGGTTGGAGGTGGTAGGGCATGTGCATAGAATATGCAAGACCCTGCATTCAATCCCCAGAAACAAAATGAAAAAAGTAAGAAATTCTTTTCATGAACGACACCATTAGAAAGTGGGAAAATGATAGATAAGAGATACTTACTTCTGTATTAGTTTTTCATCACTATTACCAAACTATCTGATATGAACAACTTAAAGGAGGAAATATTTGTTTTGGCTTAGTTTGAGAAGTTTCACCCCATGGTCAGCCAGTTCTATAGCTCTGAGCCTGAGGTGAGACAGAACATCATGGCAGAAGGGTGGTAGAAGAAAGCTGCTCAGCTCATGGCAGCCAGGAAGGGGGGTGGGGGGATGGGGAAAAGACATAATCCCTAAAAGCACATCCTGGATGACCCACTTCCTCTAGTCATGCCCCACCTGCCAACAGTTTCTACCACCTCCCAGTAGTCCATTCAGCTATCACAGGATTAATCCACTGATAAGGATAGTCTCTCAGGATTCCATCACATCCTCAAAATCCTAAACCTGGATATTGCTGCATTGGGTATCAGGTCTTCAACTCATGAGCCTTTGGGAGACATTCCAGATTCATAACATTTTCAATAGATAGTATCTAACAAAGAGTTAATACTCAGAACATGTCAAGAATTCCTACAATGCAATAAGAAAGACAAGCAGTCAAGGAGGAGGAGGAGGAGCAGGGGGAGAAAGAAAGAAAGAAAGAAAAGCAATCAAAAAAATATAGCACTTCACCAAGAAGGAATCTAAATAGCCAGTAAGTATGTGAAAAGATGCTTAACTTCTTTATTCATCAAGGAAATGCAAGTGAACACAATAAAGTACTACTAACACCCACCAAAATGGTTACAAATTTTAAAATTGACAATACCAAGTGAAGGAAAATCTGTGGAGCACATGGAGCAAGAAACTAAGAAACTCAAGAATTATTGGTGGAGGAATAATTGTGACAGCCACTTTGGAAAACTGCCTATTGATATCTACTAGACCTAAATGTACACATGCTTTATAACCCAGAAATTCCCATAAAATATGCCTAATACATGTATATGAATCAAAAGACATGTATAAAGACACTAGACAATAAAATATACCTTAACAAATTTAAAGTAATAGATATCACATTTCAGACAACAATGGAATTAAACAAGAAATCAATAACTGGAAAAACCCCAAATATGTGGAGATTAAACAGCACACTTCTATATAATACATGGGTCAGAGAAGAAAACTCAAGCCAGCTTTGTGACAAGGTTGGCTGCAAAGTGTGACAGAAATAACAGGGTGCCAATTCCAAGCCTAAGCCTAAATGTCCTCAACTTCTGTATCTTGGTACACTACCTAGCCCCCATAAGAACATCCCCAAAATAACCAGCCGAATAATAGCTCACTATTTTGCCCCTGGCAAAAACCTACCAATTCTAAGACATATGAGGGCATTCTAGACCAAGCAGCTGCAGGCCTTTCCACCAGCTGACTGCAGATTCTTGAGCAAGTCCAAGGTCAGCAGAACCACCCACCTGACTTAAAAAAAAAAAAAAAGAGTGAGCAATAATAAATGCTTACTGTTTTAAACCTCTGAGTTTTAGAGTGCTTAGTCTGTTTTCTTTTTCTATGACAGAATACTACAGACTGAATAATTTCTAAAAAAAAAAAAATTAGTTTATTCAGCTCACATCTGGTGACTGGGAAGGTCACGGTATGATATCTGCTGAGGGTGTTCTTGCTGCATCAAAATCAACCAATAATCCCATCATGCTTCCCCTCATGAACTCATCTAACTCTGATTACTTCTCAAAAGCTCTACCTCCAAATATCATCAACATATGAATTTAAGGGTTAAGTGTCTAACACATGAATTCTTAGGAGAGACAGTCAAATCTGATATAGTGACATATTCATACATATAGATATCAATGTATAGGAATATATGTATTCAAAGTCTAATAAAGATATGTTACACAGCAATACCTAACCAATATAGAAATTGGCATCTAGAAGTGGCTGCTGCTTTAATAGAAGTTTAAAATATATAGCACTGGCTTTGGGACCAGGTGGTGGGCAAAGACTGAAAAACAGTGAGAATGTATCTACTTGACAGGCTTTATGCAGTTACCGCCTATTGCCAAGGGTTCCACTACAGATGCAAGAAAAACATGTCCTCACATTTTCTGTTGGTCTGATTATGGTAATGAAGATTGAATGGGGGAAATACAGGAGAAATATATAACAAAGGGGAAAAACATGGAGAGACAATTTTTGCCACTCAGAAATAACCTTGTAAATAGTGAAGAATCTGTTTTGTTGTTGCTGTTATTTGATTTTGGTTTTGGTAGTGCTAGGAATAGTGCAGTTTAGCTTTACCGATAAGCTGCATGTTTTAATCCAAACAAGAATCTAAACTTTTAGTATTTTTTGAGCAACAAGGAAACTACTATAGCAAACTGGAAAAATAATGGCACATATTATGCAGTGGTGAAATATTTGCTTAAACTACTACCTATAGCAACTTGCAACAAATAAAACATTCCCAGTGAACTTTTACATCTTGATAAAAAAATGATTTCCAGGCAGAATGCTGAATGTGTTCGTTGGTATCTTTTAGCTGTATATTCTGGGAACTGCAGAAAGGGAAAAGGGAGACCAAAAGCTAGCAGATTTGAAAAAAATGTCTGGTTCTCATCTCCTGTCTCCAAATCAGTAAAGCATCCTCAGGTGAGGTTGGAAGGTTCTTTTATTAAGACCTCTAGAAAAGGCTAAGTGAGCCTATAGTAGATCTTTTAAGTTAAACAAAACAGGCGGTAGGAATAATAAGGATATCTTACCAAGTTTGGCGTGCCCAAGGTAGTCACAATTAAGTCTGAGGAGAGAAATTTGTCTGAAAAGAATTTTTTCATATGACTTTTATCTAATGGAGTGGACTTCAATCAGATGTTACATAGAATACTCATAAATATTTTTAAAAGTTTTACCTAGTAAAAATTTTTTTCCCAACTTGAACTAAACATGCTGAAATTGTGCAAATTCATAAAATGTTTCTAAGATCCAAGCTCCTATAGGCAGGATATGAACTGAGAAGAGTGCTCAGCTACCAACAGGAGCCGGGTCTTCATAAGTAGCCAAGGAGGATGATGGCAAAGAGAGACGCTTCCAATGTTTGAACTAAGAGCTTTGAAGGACAAAGAAGCAGGGAGCAGAACTTGGCCCCAACCAAGGAGCATCTGCTGCTCCTTCCAGGACCTGGCAACACTTGCTGGGTGGGATTTCTGTAAGAAATGGACCAGAACATTTTGTGTACTTACTGCTAGGTACTCACAACTCTAATTAAATATTCAGTAAGAAAATAAAAATGAATATGTCCAAAATCAACTCCTTGGCTCCTTTAATATTTGCCTCTCCTTAACCTTTCCTATCTTGTGAAGATACTTCACTTCACCCAGTGGCTCAAG